CGCCATCCTTCTCCTTCTTCTCGATGGCAGTCCGGGGTGCTTGTCGACGGGTCGGCGGCGTGGTCGAGGCAGCACACAGAGCTCAGAGGAAGTCTCATAGGTCAGAGCGAAGGACCGGGTGATGCTCCGATAAACCCTCCGGATCTTCGACAAAAGTCGGAAATTTCTTTAGAGCAAGGTCGACCTTAGAGCAAGGTCGAGGGCGGGCCCTCTCGGGCTCGGGCCGCCCTCTCGCCCGCACCTCTGCGGGGCTTGCACGCTAACTCGCACTCATGGCGGTGTTATTTTGTTATCCCTATCATTGAAAGTAGCAGAGGGGTCGGACCACACGCTCTCCGAATGGGATTTTCTGCCCTGCCGCCTGTCGCGGCCCCGCCTGCCTCCCGGGGCCCGCCCGGCCGTGCCATCCGCCGCCGGACCGCCCGGCGGGTCCAACCCGAAGCGGGCGACCGGCCGTTCGCACCGCTCGGCCGGCGGGGCGAGCCCCGCGGCCCTCGATCGCTCGCCCCGGGACGTGGCCCGACCGGCCCACGCGCACGTCCTGGCCTCTACCGCCGCTTTCGGCGGCGCAATTTGCGCCTTCATCGCTCTCTGGATCCTCCTGGCACCCATCGGACTCTTCCCGACGGTCGGCGGCACCCACTCCGTGCACTTTGAATCAGACTCGCTCTTCGGCAGGCACGCTCTTCGGCAAAAAGTCGCCGCCGGCCGTTCACGCCGAGCCAGCCAGTTGCCGGCTCGCACGGCAGCCTCTTCCTCTCGACCAGCCTCAACTTCGACACGGTCATCATTTTGTCGCTGCGTGCTCGTGGCGAGCCGGGCGGCGGTCAAAGTTTGCCCAGACGAGCGCCAGGCGATAGCAAGGTCTCTGTTCGCCCTGTGCATGTCAGGCCAGGCTGCAGCGGGGCACTACCATCGTGCTACGCTGTTGCAGCCTGACCTTTCTCACTGTGCACAGCCGCCAGAGCACCACCACCGCCCGGCATCGTGTCACGGCGAGCTCCTTCTGCACCCGTTCGCGAGGCTCTCGCGCTGGCACACTTCGGCCTTCCGCTGCTCGCGTTCGGCGAGTTCTTCTCCGCACTCCTGCCACGGTGCCGTCGCCACACACCTTCTGGCCGGCCTGAGCCATGCGGACTCGACCTCTCTCCCTCTCTGGAGCACGCCACGGGCCGCGACGGCTGCTGGCAGCCGGCCGGCGTGAGGAGGCAGTTTGCCGGCACAGTCGAGCTGGAGTATCCGCTTCTTGATGCTTCTGCGGTCAAGCTCGACCTTATGTGACATGATGTGCCACAATAATGCATGCTCTCACCCCTCAAAGTGTCGAAGTTTACCGGTGACTCTCCGGTGGCCCGATAGTACCGTGTGCCTTTCTTCAAACGAACGCGCTTCGAGGTTCGACAATCGCTAAGCTGCTTATGGGGCACCGCTGCGACTCCCTTGGGGATGCCTGAGGCCACCCCAAGCACTCCCAAGCCTTACGTGGACGATTTCAACCCTACTCTGTGTTTGTTCGTCTACGCACATTAGCAACTTTGTGCTCATGTCAACGCCACGCCAGCGCTAGCCCATTCAACCCCGCCCCATTGGGGGCGGGGCCCGTCAAGGGCCTCACTCTAGTGTAGCTCTTACGAACATACCCGTAGGTGAACTGCTGACAGGGTTTGCGATGAGGAGCGATCCGAACGTGGTATTCGGGTGATCAGATCACTACCGCCGAAGCGCAAGCGCTTGGAGCAAGGGAACTGCCACGTATGGGTCCCAGACTAGCACCCCACCTCGCGGGCCGACGTTCTGGCCCAGCAAGGCTGCTGCGGAGCACTCGGGGCCGATGTTCTGGCCCAGCGAGGCCGCTGCGGGGCACCCGGCGGCTCGGTTCGCTCATCAGCGCAAACTCGGTCGAGCAGAAAGTAAGGTGTGTGTGTAAAGGCGGCGCGGCACGATAAGGGTCGGCGGTAAGGCGGCGCGGCGGCAGCAGGCGGCAGGCAGGACATCGGACGGCGGGACATACGGCGCGGCGGGCGCGGCACTGTAGGAGCGGCGGTACGGCGGCACGGCGGTAACGGACGGCAGGGGGGGCGGCAGCAATAATATCGTTGGCCGAAGCCTCGTTGGCCGAAGCCTCGGTGGCCGAAGCCTCGGTGGCAGAAGCCTCGGTGGCCGAAGCCTCGGTGGTCGAAGCCTCGGTGGCACGGAGGAAGGAGCGGCACGGTAAGGAACGGTGGCACGACGGCAGACCACAGCGGCGAAGGAACGGCGGAGCATTTCGGGCGGGAGGGTGAGGCGAGGGTGGCGGCGGTTCGGATCACGAGGAGGTACAAGAAAGTCGGGCGCGGGCGGGCGGGGTGGCGGCGAGGCGGCGGGAGGGTGACGGGCGAGGGGGGTGGCGGGTTGGATCACGAGGAGGTAGAAAGTCGGGCGCGGGCGGGCGGGGTGGCGGCGAGGCGAGGGCGATGGGCGCCGCAGCGGCGCGCCAAGAGGCAGCGGTGGCGACGGGCGATCTGGCGAACGGCCTGTGAGTAAGTTGTGTTCTGGTATTCTCATGTCTGTGTCGTCATAGGATGCCACAGACTGTGTGTTTTGAGTCTGTTGGGAGCGTCGTGTGGCGTGTACAATGTACTACTTGCCTGATCAGCATAGAAGACGACCAACGCATTGGTATCCAGGGAGCAAATGACGACTCGCGTAGAGCGGCGCCCAGATGCGCTGCCTCGCTGTCCGGCCTCTGTGCTGCCCCTTCTCTTGCCATCAGTCGCATTCTCACCGCACGCGGAGAGCACTGGTGCTCTCCGCGTGCGCCACCGATGTGATTGTGCAACGTCAGCCACCTTGCCGGAGGTAGTTGCGACTTGGGACACCGGAAGCTCGACGCTCGAGCACGTGTGGCAAAGTTTTGCGACATCCCGCGACTCGACCCCCGAGGGCTGCCGGCCGCCGACAGCAATACCGAGACCGGATTGCGTAGCGAGTTCGGTCCGAATGTGCCCAGGGCCAGCCCGTGGACCGGTACGGACGGCAGGTACCCATGGGACCGCTGCGGCGGGCCTGGGAGGCGCCACGAGTCCCAATGACGCACGGCCAGCGCGCGTCCCCAAGCCCGAAATAGGCCTTTAAGAGGAGTGTGCCGGGCGAGCGGTCGAGAATTCACAATGGACGCGATCGCCACCCTGAAGAGGAGCGCGACCGAGGCGATTGGGAAGCACGAGCTTCCGCGTGCGCTGGTGCTGCTCAACGAGGCGCTCGACCTCGCGCCCGACGACCGCGCGCTCTGGACAAACCGCGCGTACGTGCATGAGCTCAGGAAGGCGCCAGCCGACGCACTCAGCGACGCGCGGCGCGCGATCGAGCTCGACCCCGGTTTCAGCAAGGCGCACCTGCGGCTCGGCCGCGCGCTGGTTGCGCTCGGTCGCACCGACGAGGCCTACAGCGCGCTCGCGTCCGCGGTCGAGCGCTGGCCGCAGGACTATGCACTCGCTGAAGCGCTCTCTGCCGCCGGCGCGGCGTCAAGCGGCGGCGACAGCGGAGGCGGAGGCGGGAGCGCAGTTGCGGCCAGCGAGGCTGCGTTGCTCGAGGCGGCGCAGCAGGCGGACGCGCGCGCGATGCGCTCGACCAGCGACGGCCTCGACTCGAGCTACTATTATGCCGCGGTGCCAGCGGCGCGGCATACACTTCCCGTGCGTCCGCCCGAGCGGATCGAGGCCTCGGCCGACGCCGAGCGAGCGAAGGAGCTGGCCGCGAGCGGCGCAGTCCGCGCGGATATTGAGCGGAGGGGCGGCGACTCGTACTACTATGCGCACGGGAGGGTGACAGACTACCACGTCCCGTCGGTGCCTCACCGCATCGCCGCCGATGGCAGCCTCTCGCCGTGGGACCCGTCGCAGCGCTGACGCTAGGAGAGGGGCAGCACCGTTGTTGCCACCCGCGGTTTTTTTCTTGGTGGAGCCCGAGCATGACGTATGTGCGCGTCTGTGCGTGTGTGGCTGTGGGACAGACGTTGTTGTCCTATGCGCGGGGCAGCATCCTGCCCCAGCGGCACCGCCGCATTTTTTCTCTTTTGCCTGAACTCCTAAATGCTAAATGCGCTGTTGCAGAATGTCCCTTGAGCCTTGTAATGCGAAAAAAGAAAGAAAGAACACAGACAACCCAAGGGAGGGATGGGAGCACAGCAAAACTACGAGCGTGGTAAC